TTCTTGAAAAAGTTTGTTACCAAATAAGGAAATTTTTAAGTAAAAAATTGATTGTCGGGAAGAGTTTTTTTTTTTTTAATTATTGTATATAATTTAAAATTATTTTTAATAAATAAATATTAATAAATATATAAAATTATTGATATTGTTTAATAATATTAAAGTAATCAAAATTACAAATAAAGTAATCAAAATTACAAATAAAGTAATTAAAATTACAAATAAAAAAGTTAAATTTATATAATAAACATAAAAATTTTTAATTGAATCTAGAATTTAAATTATAGTAATTAAATTTATTTATATATAATTTAAAAACAACTATATTTAAAATATTAAAGTTAAGTTTAAAAATCCTAAAAATATTTAAAAATATTTAAAAAATGACTACACAAAAAATTATTTTAATAAAAAAAGTTTATTATTAAATATATAAATTTGAATAATTATTTTTAATTGTATATTCTTTTGTAATTATAATTGTTTAAGTAAATAATATTATATTTGTTAAATAATAAATAAAAATAAATAAATAATTTATTTATTTATTATAACATAATATAATTTATTCAAAAAACAAATATTTAATATAAAAAGAAATTATTATATTTGTTATCAATGAGATTTTTAAATTTCTTATATTAAAAAATCACAAAATTATTTGGAAAGCAAGCATGCCAATCTTAATTATGACTTGGAGACTAATCTGTATATGGTGGCTGCAGCAACTTCATATAGTTGGGTAAACAAAATTCTCTAGATAGCTAGATGCCATTCAAAGCATAATATAAATTTTGAAATTCGATTTTCTGTATTCTTGGATGGTGCCAAGGAGCTTTGGTGGATAAGCTGCTTTTGTTGAGACTTGCATTTAACTCTTTCTGACAAAAAGAGATGTATATCATGTTTTGGTTTATAAATCTTGTACTCGTAAGTTAAAAATTATAAATAATAATAGATATATAATAACCATCTGTTTCTTCAAAAAAAAAAACTACAAAGTTATATATTTTATAAAATTTTTTTTAAAAACAATATTTTAATTTAAATCTCTAAAATTTCTAAATCAAATTACAAATAAGAGTTTTTTAAAAAAATTTTTTTTTAATTTATGAATATAAATAAATAAATTTATATAAATTTATCATAATTAACTTTTTAATTTAAATATAATATTTAACCATAAAAACAAAATCAAATACTGTATGTATTATATATACATTTAATATTTTTATTTTAACCTCATTTGATATACTATATATAGCAAATAGGTATTAATAATATAAACAAAAATTTTCATTTGTGATTACAATAATATGGATTTATTAAAATACAGTTATTAAATTTTTTAATAATTATAAAACGGCTTAAAATCGTGATGCTCAACAAGTGATTGGATACTTTATGACAAGGAAGTGATGCTCCTGTGACAATTTTATAATCATAGATTTACAATACTGTAATACAGTAGTGGTCATTGAATCCAAATTAGGGTGATCTTAGGAAGATATATAATCATAACTTGTCAAAACCTTCCCCAGACTTCATTTAAGGACTCTAGGGTACAAATTATCGTAATAAATATTTGAGCACTAATTAAACTTCATCGTTATGAACGATCCCCAAGATATCGATTTTTTTTCACAAAGCTTCGGTGAGAAATTGTATATTAATTTTATACGTGCGCAATATATTACGAAGATCTCAAAATCAATACAGTAATTATCTCACGAGAATAACGCAGAAATTTGGCTTTGTCGTAGTTTAAAGACAATATATGTTTTGTGTCTTCACTTGACAATTATAGATAGCAAATTTTTAGTCTTTCTTACCGAATTAACTAATAATATTTGTACTATCGTACTAAGAACATATCCCGAAATCGACCCGTGATTTATCTCATCACATTCCCGGTTTATATCTATTAATCGACTCGCGAAAGGATGAAGGGTCAAATGGTCTTGGTATATTTTATTATTTAATTAAATGAATTTAGAAGTATTTAATGACGCTTTATTAACATCATTCTCTTTTAGTTGACAAATTTATCATTTCGAAAGAATCATTAAAAGAATTTTGCAATAAGATGGTCCCATCAAGTTTTAAATCATTCTCGGACGTCAACTATTCGGCGTTGAATTCAGTTTCGGTTAATCTAGTTGGTTGTTACGGAAACCACTCGTTAATTGCGAAACTCTTATATAAGCAACAAATAATTAACAAAAAAATGCAAGTATTTTATTTTACGCTTACAGTAAGATGCCTTGAAAAGAAAGATACATACGAAACGGCCTATTTAATAATGCAGATGAACTCACTTAATACAATATTATACTATACCTTAGATATAATTTACTTGCAAATTCACAATCGCCTGTAGAAAAGCATTACTTGAGTCCTGGAATTTATTTGCTTGTGATTCCTCCACTAAGCTTAGGTTTAGTTATTCATTGGCCTGAACCTGGATGTTATGAAGAAAATATTTCATCTCAAACAAAGAAGAAAATGATAAATTTACACAGGTTATTAGCTTTGTATTTACCGTAATATTTTAAAGATAATGCTAACTACTTATACATCGCACACGTACAGATATCTTACCAAACTTACGGATCATCAACTCTGTTTAATGAGTGAATCCGACTTGGAATGTTTTACTAAGAATTTGGAGAATGAGGGAGAATACAAAGATTTTAAAATATTGCCAGGATTTCAGGTTCGTAATTATAAATTGGGAGTACAGTATTGTTATTCATAAATTTTTTAATATTTAAGTTAATGAACAACACAAGAACTTTATACATAAATAAAATAGATTCATTTGCCACAACAAATAATTTCAGATATTCGTGATGGATATTCTCTGCGACCTACTGGTAGGCTGGAATAATTCGTAAAATTTTTCATAATCTACATATTAATCTAATTAAGAATTTTTAGTGGTTGAATCTGTAACTAGTCAAACATTAATCACCAAAAAAATTATTGGCACATCGAAAATCATTCGATGTGCTCTTAATACTGAGTATAGAAGGTTTAAAGAAGATTTTTGTAAAAAGCTTGATGGGCATGCTTTACGTATAAGCAAAAATATGACTTTTAAAAATTTAGAAATATTGATTAAAAACGGGTTGCCTGAAATGGAAGAAGAGCTACTCGGTCCTTACAGAAAGAAGTTAGAAGATGTGAAGACACAAATAGAGCTTAAGAAAGCGCAAGAAAGGGACTCCATAAAAGAAGACGCAGAAATTTTCACTAAATATGTTTGGACAAAATTAAGACAAGAATACATGTATGGACCTCATTATCATGTAAAATATAAGGAAGTTTTAAAAAGTTTTTATGTAACCATTTTTTTATTTAAACAGTGAATTTGAACTACTAATTAATAAAGAATCGACTAACAATCTCACTACGCAACAAGTCAATGATAATGAGACCATGAATCAAAGTAAGTGACTGTATTATAATTATGCTTTATTTTTATATAATTTTAATATATCATCTTATATATTTCACAAAGGAATCGAAAATATCAAATTAAAATATCAGGCTGAGTGTGATCAAATAGAGAATTCTTTGAAGATAAATTCGAAAGGATGGAAAATATTAAAAAAACGATATTTTTTCTTAAGCATTTTTATACAAGATTTATTCAGTGACATGGATCAAGATGGAGATACACAGTCACAGTTGTTAAATGAACAAGTTAGGCAATCAATGTGTCAGGTAATATTTAATATATTCATGGACAAGGAATTGGATTATAACAAGCTCATAAAGAAGTATTTTGTGGGGAAAGATCAGGAAAAAATAGAAGAGAAGAAAAGTTCTTGGTCGCTTCAATCGCTAATGAAATCGTTGGCAAACATATTTCGAACTGATAACTCCAAATTTAATCGCGCTTTGCACCATGCAGAAACATCAGTTACCAAAACATCTGACAGAAATTTTATTAATGAAATTATTTCAATGGAATTTGAGTCTCTTTCTAAACAAAAGCATGAAATTATTGATTTATTTCTGAAGGAATATGAAAGTTGGAAGAGAAAGATCTTTCCAGGAAATATTCAGGCGATTGTTCCAAAATACAATGAATCTTATATGAAAGAAGTTACTAAAAAATTTGATTCAGAATATTTACGCTCTAAAGAAATAATAGAAGAGAAAGAATTTAATATAATCTGCAAAGAAATAGAAAACAAGTTTCCCACAGGGTAAGTTGCTTGTTAATATGCGTTTTATAATATTTTTACGCATTATTATATAGTAACGCATTATTTTACATTAGGCATATTTTAAAGATATTGAATTTATATGGTAAATCTTTTACATTTCAAATAACATAACATGTTATCTAAAAACAATTATTTCTTATTTTAAATAGAGAACCTTTCTTTTATAAAAGAATATACAAACTATCAAATATCTTACGAAATCGAAACCATCAAGTCTGACCAACTCAAAATTACAATCTATCAAATGTCAATTGATGGAGGAGATAGTTTTCTACATTCTGAAGACGAATTTTATATCCTCACACCAAAATTCAATCATCAATATATCAGTAATATCGAAAATTCTTTCCAAATAAATCTAGAAACTCACGAAATTAGGTAAATTATGTGAAAAAAATTGGTTATTTCAAACTTTCAAATTTATCAAATATCTTTATCCCTACATAGGAATATTTCACAAATTGAAAATAAATTTTTTCTCGCGCTATGGAACAACAATGAAAATCGACTGGAGATATATTTTGACACTGCATCCCGACTATCATCATCTATTCAATCTAATCCATTCAAAATATTATATCCAGAGAAAAGCTCCCTTATTTCTGTAAATGAGTCTAAGGGGTTAATTGGATCTTATAATATTAATTCGGGAGTTGTGAGTAATCTTTTTTGATTAATTATAATCATTAAATTGATGTAAAATTTTATTTGCGAATAACTACCTTTAATTTAGCTAAATGTTTACACATTTGATGAGAAGTTTATTACTCTTATTCCATGGGCCACCAATGTTCAGTTAGTTCAGTGGTATAGTCATATGGTACCGGAAATTCAACACTTTTTCTTTATTAAAGATACTGAAGATATTATGTTTCATTGAGAAGAATGGTCGCTGCAGAATTTATATGATATTCTACGATCAATTCCGACCTTGTTCGTTGCAATTACCACCAGAATCATCCAAAGTTCTAAGTACACCCGATGGATCATGTATTGTGGCTTTCACAAAAGATACCGTGTTAGAACAGGAAAACGAAAACAACGATGCTGATAGTAAAACCGAAAAAGCAGACCGTTATAATCCAGAAAATCAAATGGAAATTATTAAAGCACATGTATTTTTTTGTGCAAATTTTGGTAGCCCTGCTAGTAAAGGCATGTGATATTTAGATTAATTATATTATATACGGTTATTACGACTAATTGCAGTACTGTAATTGTTTGTTACTATAGTTATACCTATGCCAAAAAATATGCAATCCGTTGAACATTTTCAATTCTCTTATATCAAGAAACAACAAATGCATCTTACTACCCTCGATGTAGTTAATGGACAGTTTTGTTCGTTGATTACTAAAATTACACTTGAAAAAACATCGCGCAAGTTTCAGCGGAGATCTAACAAAAAATTAATGGGAAAAGTAAGGATTTTGTCATCCGACTACCGAAATGACAGCCATTCATTTTTAGAAGGAAGGGATACTCGATTCTCTAAGAACGTTTTGGTTGGAGAAAGTATTGTTATTCAAAATGAAAAAAGGTGTATTCTTGAAATACAATCAAACACGAGATTGAAGATTGCAGGAGCCTTTTCAAATATCGCAGATCTACATTCATGGATGGATTTTCAAATTGAACCCCAAACAAATATTAATAGCTTTGTCAACGTGTATCAATACATGTTTGAAAAATACCCAATTGATAGCTGCTGTATAGATACCGAACAAAATAAGTCTTTGAGCTTGACTATAACCCTGGATTTGTCTGGTCGCAATGTTGAAGATTACGAAGAAGGATTCAGAGATTATGTCTACGAGATGTTCGAAGAATTAAAACGTTCCACAAAAAAACCAGCAAACAGCCTAAAAAAATTCAAGATTGGTAATTCAAAGCTAACATTAATTAGAACATTTTTGGAGAAATTTTTAATAATACACAAATATTTAACTTAGACGTAATGAACTTTTCGGAACTTAATATTGGTGACCCTGACTTTCAAGAAAACAAGTCATCAAAATTTTATCTTGGAGAATGGATAATTCAGCTTTCTTGCTTAATTCCTATTCAAATTGCGGTTGCCCGAAACAATGTGTTCCAGCCACTACAAGATGGGTTATCATCAAATGACAATGGTCTAGATGGCATTGGCCTTAACCTAAATAATATTGCACAAAATATTTCTTTCGGGTGGTATGAAGGAATCTTTAAACATTTTTGTGACCGCCAGGTTAAAGTAGTTTCTAGCATAGGCGAGCAATCGTGTGGAAAATCTTACATGGTAGGATATAGTGTACACAATACGTAGCATCAAATTGATACATCTTTACTAATTCATATTTGAAAGTTAAATCACCTGGTGGGAACTACATTTGATGGATCCACAACGGTTGGTGTACATCTATAAAATACTATACTTCTATCTCTCTGGTTTCACTTTATTGGTTATTTTATTTTTTTTGGAACTAGAGATGCACTGAAGGTGTCTGGATGTCACTGGGTAAGTATTTAGATATTCATATAAACGAGACATAATCATTGTATTTACCTGATAAATTAATTAGCTATTACGGCACGGTGTATATACGTAGCCTTAGACTTTGAAGGCTTTATGTCCCTCGAAAGAACTCGACAAGAAGGTAAATAAATTAGAACCTAACGTATTGTAATATAATATTGGTATTGACTTATTGATATTTAGACTTGTTCTTGACTCTATTCAACACTGTAACATCCAATATCATTCTTTTTAACGTAAACCATATTCATGTTAACCTTTTTTGTTAAAAAAACTTTTTGCATAATACGCATTTCATATATAACTTATAACATTTCACATAACTTTTTTAAAATAAGACTCAATTTGCGGTTAATTGTGATATGTCAACGATGTTTCAAAAATTCCAGGATGGTGCCAATCAACCGCTATCGAACGACCCAAAGCTATTTAAGGTATTACATATTCAGTAATGAAAATTACAAATAATTTATGCCGTATGTAAATAAAGGTTCATTTGTTACATAGGCAAAACTATGCGTCATAATCAAAGACGTTCCTAAACAAGACAGAGAAGATACTGTTCGAGTATTTTCTTTAAATTTAAACTCCATGATCGATCAGGTATTTGCGTTATATTGTTTTATGAACATTGAGAAATATAATCAAAATCTCTGTATAACTCAAGGAAGGAGAGGACAATTTTATAACTCGAATGTATCCAGGTGGCCTTATAATAATTCCTTATCCGATTTTTCATGAAAAAGGAATGTATCAAATTTAGTCTTGCATTTTTTATTTTCGTTTTCCAAAATTAACATTTTTTTTTTTCTAGGGTTTGGCATTTGAGATTTTTTATACATTAATACATTATCTATTTGTTAATGCATACTATTTCTTCTTTATCACCTTTTTATCATCCCCCGTTTTATGTGGATTAAACTTTGTTTTTCCATAGTTGGTATGTATTTATACTTATGTCTACACTGTATTTGCCGTTGTTTTGAAAGCAATACGAGAAAAAAAGTATAAATAATGCACAATTGCTATTTCACAGGTTTACAAGTCTAAAAAAATTTAAAAATATACTAGAGAAACAAGAAGCGAGATATACAAATGCACAAACCTTTTTACAGAACACAAAAATTATTATGACAAAAATTATGGTATAAATATATAAGAATCTTCTGATATGTAAATTTTTATTGGCCAATTTTTTAATTTGGTGCGTAATTTATTAGATATGCGATTGGGGTTCTTTGGATGACAATTTGATCCAAATTCGCGTGTCTACATTAAAGAAATTGCTTCGAACGGCTATATCCAAAGGTTTAGAAGAAAAGAATCCAACAATTGTGAGCTTGATGGTAGGTTTTACGCTATTTCAATGAAAAAATGATGTATTTAAATATACTGTATATTATGTACTTAGAATCATAACACGAGAACAAAGATTGATGATCCTGTGGTCATGCTGTCTGAAATATATGAAGACTTTGACAATTCTAAGGAGCTTCTTTGTGATGAGGGCATACTTCTTTTCGAAGAAAATATCGATTTCATGCGTTTGTCTGCTGATCTGAGAAAGTACTTTGAACAAAACATACATCAAAGAAAAAATTTTTACGATGACACTAAATGGTTTAAGGGACTAGATAAATTTTTCAAATATATTATTTATCGAAGAACTGAAAGAGTTAGAGAATGGTTTGAACAAAACACCTGTGAATTTCCGCAAGGCAATAGTGACATTCAAATTAGACATTGTGACATGGAGAATGAAATAAACAGGATTACTATCCTTTGGACTTTGTGTGGAATGAACTGCTCCCATTGTGGATTCCGATGTATAAAAAACCGTGATCATGAGAATGAACACGATTGCTTAACGGATCATAAATGCCATTTTCCATGTCAATTTCTGGAAGCACATACGAATAAATTACTCATTTCTCAGTGTAAACACGAAGCCGGTCATTATGGAAGGCATAAATGTGACAATGCCGGTCATGTATGCGGAAAGCCTTGCAGTTTAAAGGATTGTAGTAATTGTCAAAAAGTATGCGCAAAAGAAATAGGTCACGAGGATAGCGAACATATGTGTCAGTCAGAACGTATGTAAATTAAATAAATTACCTGTTATGTTGCTATTTATCTTACTAAACTAGGAAACGGAAACCGTTTATAAGTCCTGAGCTTAAAGTTAATTAAAGTATAAATTTAATTTAAACACTATAAATTTATAGGTATAATAATTAGGATTTAAATTATGTAATGGTTAAATTATTTATTAGAATAATTTATTAAAAAATAATTTATTGAATTTGCTCGACAAATACACAAATAACGAAAATACGCAAAACTACTTACTTCATGTAAGACAGTATCGAGAATTATAATAGGATCGATCTTCTTTTTTTAAAATAATTCACACAATTATCGTATAGATAATAAAAATATGTAAAAGTTATAATTCCAATAATAATAATATAGCTAATCCTTAAGTTTGCTTAACAAATATACAATAACGAAATAGTCAATAATATTATAGTGAATCTGGTTTTCTTTTAAGTTTAATTAACGAATATATACAGTAAATAACAAAGTGTGGTTGTTTATAAGTTGCTAATTCTATTATAGTTAATAAAACTTATTTATAATATTTCATTTGAGTTTCCCGATACTATTATTAAAGTTTAATTAATTATAAAAGTTTCATCTTAAGAATTTGCACAAGAAATAGAAATAAGTTTATAAACTCATTTATACTATTTTATTCGATACTAGTTATTAAAGTTTACTTAATTATAAAAAGCTTTATCTAAAGTTTCTTTACTCATCAGAAGTTTATCAATTATAAACATATTAAACATAAATTGTAATAAAATATTTCGTCATTGCAAAAATAGTTTCGCTAAAAATTATTACAAAAAACTAACCCATAAATTTCTCACAATTTTGCTGTTCTATTACCTACTAAATTTAAATTAGTTAGTGTGATATTCTCGTGCAGTAGGGGACATAAGTAACCTACCCCCTTAATTTTCTGAAAATGCGCAGTACATTATTTATTTTAAAGTTCGTAACCAATGCTGATCCCTAATACATAGTATAGTCGCCATTCGAATTTATTAGTGCCGTGATCCGGCGATTCATACTATTAGTCAGATTCATGGCAAGCTGATCTGGAAGAAGGTTCCATTCTCTCGATATTTGCCCCTTTAACACCTTGATCGTTTTAATTTTTTTTTTGATACTTTAATCTTTAGCAGCCGCCATAAGTTTTCTATGGGGTTTTGGTCTGGTGACATTGCCGGCCAAGAAAGTTCAGTTATGCCGTTTTCTTCCTTCCATTTTCTTGCGATTTTTGAACGGTGCTTGGGATCATTGTCTTCCTGCAAGATCCAACCTAAATTATCATCATCAAAAAATTCACAGGCAGAGGGCAAAAGACCCCTTTCATAGATACTACACATAAAACGGGCGTTGAGGTTCTGCTGAAAAAAAATTAGTTTACCAAACCCTCGAGCTGAAAAACAACCCCATACATGAACTTTTTGCGGATATTTGACCGTACGAAAGACCTTTCGTTTCCCAATAAACTGCCAAACCTTTCTATTCGACTGGTATAGTTGAAAGGTTTCACGAACCTATAAAAGTGCAGATGATCAGGTTTTGTATTACCCTTTATATTCTGAAAATTTGGGCGCTCTTGTATTATAATTTTGGGAAATAATGGGGGGTAGGTTACTTATGTTCCCCACTGTATATGTAGTGCATTTGCGATATTTTCCTATTGATTTCTTTAATATAAACAATTAACAATACAATTATAAGCAGTGACACTTTATGAAAACGTAAATCGAGAAATGAAACACCTGATTAACACAAAACACGTCTTGTGAGGGAGCGTGAATACAAAAACAGAAAAGAAAATCAAAAGAAAATACCGAAGAACGAGAGACGTGTCTTGCACGTAATAGAGAATGAAAGCATATAAAGTTAGCAACAGAAACAAATGAGCAGTGGGAAAGACATCTAAATTATTATCGAAAACAAAAAACTTACTTGAGGGACATTAATAACAAAAATCAAGGTACAATAAATCAAGAGCTGAATTCACAAAGACAACAACCACAGCAACAGCAACAGTCTTGTCAAAATATTGATGTAAATTGTGCAACCACAAATGTTGAGTCACTTTCTGCTATATTGAGTAAATCTGAGCAAGATCCTTTGAAGAAATTTCGTAAAAAAATTGAAAATTTTAGACAAACTTTGTTTTATATGTAATCAAAGCTTCTCATCTATAAATATCAGAAAAAGTAAATGCGTATGTTGTTATAAGGAGAATTCACCAGAAAAAGTAAATGCGTATATTGTTATAAGGAGAATTCACCAAAAAAATTCATGGCAGAAAACAATATGGACCCCGGAGGAGTACCCAATGAGCTTCAAAATCTCACAGAAATTGAGGAAATGTTAATCGCACGTGTTTTTCCTATCATGTGAATCTATAAACTTCGTGAAGGACAAAATGATTATCATGGAAATGTGATCAATTTTTCTCAAGATGTTCAAGAAATTGCCACAAAACTTCCTCGACATCCATCATAATTAGATGTGATTATTATACATTGCTAATCCACAAGTAATTCTGAAGTATTCAAAGATTTTAGAGTTTATCATACTAAAGTTGAGTTGCTAAAGTATTATTATGGTTAAAAGAAAACAAACATTACTATTATAATATAACTATTGATCATGAAATTATCCAGTACTTACCTATTGATGGTTCAATTGACGAATGACATCCAAAATATTGCTGAAAAATCAAATGACAATAATAAAAGCGAGGATGATATAATTACACATACTTTTGTTTTGCTTTTTTCTGCAAATAGTTTTGAAGATATTGTTATAAAGAATATCTTTGATCAAATACAGAAAAATAGTCCTATTATATGGCCATAAATAAATAGCAATCCTATTAATGAATTTCAAATGGCAGGATATATTGCATATGCATTTCCATCTTTATATCCAACTGTGCAGATCTTCGTTCTGGATGACTCAAAAAGAAAAAACTTGCTAAATATTTCAAACATCTTCTTTTATATAAAGATGGCAGATTTACAAGGCATATATGTTGGTGATTTTTTGCATATAATTTTGAGATGCACTGGAGAGCACTACAAGAATGAAATATATATGCTAAGCAAAACTTTAACGAAAATCAAATCACAATTTCAGATATTCAGGAAAGAATCACCCAAAATGATAATTATATGGCTGATAAAATTATGAGATTTGATGTAGGTTTATGTGAAACTTGTCAATTCTAAAACTCACAATATTATGAACTATCTGATATGATTAAACAAATAGGTTCCCAAGGTTTAATTTTCTTTACATTTAGTGCTGCTGATTTGCACTGGCCTGAGCTTTACAAGCTTATGCCATTTAAAGATAATTTTGAAACTATTGTAAACAATAATCAAAATATTATTGATAATCCCCATATTGTAGTATGGTTTTTTAGATAGTTATTTGAAATTTTTTTAATAATGTTCTAAAAACACAATAGAATTTAGAAAATTGGTGGTATATATTTGAATGGCAACATCATGGAAATGTTCATATATATCTGAAATCAGCAAACAAAAAATGTACCCAAAATAGAATGGAAGCAAATGAAAGAAAATGAAAGCAAAATAAATGAAGTTATACAATATCTTAATAATTTAGTTACCACAATTAATTCAGAACTTGATATGTCCATTCCTAAACAGCATTCATGTTAAAAGAATAGAAATAAATTGTGTAATGATCAGCAAGATTATATTGATCTAATTAACAAACTACAAAGACATATCTGATGTAGTTCTACATAGGGTTCCAATCGGTACCATTCAGTATGGTATTTCATAAAACTGATACCGAAAATATTTTTCGGTATGAAACTTTGCAATACCGATACCGAACCGAAAGTACCGAAATTATCAAAATTAAATAAGTTTATATTTTTAACATAGC